TGTGTGTGTGTGTGTGTGTGTGTGTGTGTGTGTGTGTGTGTCTATGCGTGTGAAGGGCAGACACAGCTTGCTGGAATCAGTTCTCCTCTTCCATCATGGGAATTGATTGTTAGCTCAGATTGTTAAACTTCTCCAAGTGCCTTTACTTACTGAATTATCTCACTAACCCAAACCAAGCTTTTGAGAACAAGATTCTCAGTTGCTTCTTGGATCTCCAAGAGGATGGATGGGGCTACCTGGCTACTTCCCAAGGCTCTCAGTAGGCCAAGCTACCCAGGAAAGTCTTCTCTGCTGCTTCTGGAGGTCATGGTGGGTGAGCAGGGCTTCCAGGCTACTTCCTGGGGCAAGCAAAAGAGAGGTGAGAGGGCCCGACTATTTCTTGGGACTAAGGAGGCATGGCTGCTGCTGGGTCTCTGAGGTTGGGATTTCTTGGCTAAGTCCATATGACTAAGTCAGCAGAACTGCTGGCAGCAGCTACCTTGCAGTTCACAGGACCCTGGCTGGGTGGGATCTGTAATGGTCACTATTGATTACTAACTTGATTGGCTTAAGAACCACCACCAGCTTGGGAAGTAGTGAAATCCTCTCTGGGGTTATCTCCATAGTTGATTAGAGGAAGGCTCTGATCTGATGAAGAGATTAATTCTTTGATGATTAATAGAATGATGGCATTACTGGGAAGCACTAAAAGGTATGAGGCAGAGTCTAGTTGTAGGAAGTGGACCACTGAGGCATGTCTCTAGGGTCTGGATTTGCCAGCTCCTTTCTGTAGGCCCTTTTTTCCTGCTTCCTGGCTGACATAATATGAGCAGCTCTGCTCTGTCATGCCATCCCCATCATGATGGACTGACACCACTAAAACTGTGAGCCAAAATAAATCCACCACCCTTTAAATGATCTCTGCTGGTAGTTAGTGATCAAAATGCAAAACTAACTAATACAATTCTCAAGGCAGCACTGTACAGCAATAGTTTAGGCACAGAAGGGCACTCTATGGACTGGGCTCTTTCCCCTGAGCTTTGCAATGGTGTGGTACCCTTCAGCTCCCACTTTCAGGCTCAGGGGCTGGAGGTAGGGGTTGACAGGCTTCTCTAGCAGCACATGCATCAGTGGGAACTGCTGGGGCCTCCTGCTTCCCTCTCTCTGTAGAAGGAAGTCCCTCTCAAGTTCAGGTTGATTTTAAGAGACAGCACAGTTGATGTGTGTCCTTAGTTCCCTTCTTTATAAGGCTAGTGTGTTTCCTGTGTTTTGCAATGATGCCTCTGCCATGTGCCTTCAGCATTCTGATGCTCTGCCTCTTATACTAAAGTGAAATAGCTGTTGTTTGATTTTTTGTCTTCAGGGTGGGGAGAAGTGTTCTAGGCACCTCTAGTCAGTCATCTTGGTATGCAATAGTTATTTTAAAGAAATGAAGGTATAGAGGTCTAACACCCTCAAATGATAAAGAACAAAAATAGAAATAAAATGAAGTATTCTAGAGTCCTGCCTCTTTCATCATGCTGGCTATTGTGAAAGTGATCATTC